ATTTCCTTCTGTTTTGAACTGATTGCAATATAAGACACATCCTCAGGTTTGTCCTTATCAAATCTCAACAGCTTCCTCGGAGGTCGTTCAGCAGACTACAGACTTCTCTTTGAAGAGGAAGGTCAAAATCTACCTGAGAAGCTCTTTGCGGGGGTGTGAGAATGTTGAATGTTTGCTTTCTGAACTAATTCTTTTGTGCCGTGTAAATACCAATTCAGTTTATTTAAATGATTAATTTAAAAGAAGGCAAAAATCCCTATCTCGTTACTTAGGTTGAGGATGAGAGCAGCTACTTCACATCTGTATTTTAACTTAACAGTTTTAGGGGAACGGGGCAGAAACAAACATGTTGTTTTTTATTTCATCCAAGCTAATAAGCATTGGGTGAACATTCATTGATATATTTGTTCAAAAGATTTTTTTGGTCTACCTTATAAAAATAAAATTGTTTTTTTTAGTTATTTTTTACTAGATTTCTAAAAATTGCATGTTCTGTTATGTTATATATATTTATGCTATGTAATTATAAATATATATAAAACTTAACATGCATTCATGCATTGTGCCACTGTGCATTGAATTGTCCTCAATATAGAGAGAAACATAGAATAGAAGAGAGACCAAAAGACAAAATGGGTACATAATCAACAAACAGGACAAACATCACTAGGTTACTGAGTAAAAGTCATTTTTCTCTCCTGTTGTACACTAGATCTGACTGACAGAAACAACAATTTGATAAATAGTGTGTGTATGGTTCCCCTATCTGACCTGCAAAATTCACTTTGCACCCATCTGCCCCAGACAATTCCAGACAGTCCTCTTCGTCCTGATCTCCACCTCAGCTCCGTCCATTATGTCCTATTTAACAAACTTGGACTTTTTTTCTTAAAAGCGGAGTCAGACTTCAGAGGCTGTGTGGCATGTTTATAGGGATGGACTGTGCGGTACACAGAGATTTCTCATTTCTTTTGGTGACCTTGGGCACAGTGACATGCACGGCGTCCGGGCTTTGATTTGAGGTGTAGCGGAAAAGGTGCAATGCAAGATAATTTTGGCCTCCTTTTTTTTTTCGCCTCCTGGGAGCATAGAGAAGTCAGAAATACACTCGGCTCAGACTCGGGGAGATTACAGGTAATGTGGCACAGTGGCTTCATAAACATTCTTGACCCAACCTGATCATACAGATATTGCTTGAGGAGAGACTTTTCACACTTTGATTTGCCTTAAATGAGATGGAGAAGTCAGTGATCAGACTCTTTGAGGTTCCTCACAGTGAGGCCATGCAGCACTGGCTGTTTGTATATACATGGTCACATACACACACATACACACACACGTAATGACAACTGGGTGAACAGCAAGCAGACGCCTGCAAACAAACAGAGAAAATTTCCTTTTTTGAGGTGATATATTGATGTATAATTCATGTCAGGATAAAAATGTATACTAAATGATCCATCTTAAGCCATTGAAGCCAGGTGATAATCCACATGCTGGTGGGGCAGCCCTGGGCGCATTAGGGATGAGGAAACCATTGTACATCCCTCTAAGGTCAACATGGTTGAACCGGTGATACATATGTATGTTAATTTGCCTAATCTCACTTCTACAAATGTCTTACAGGCACATAAAGGGTTTAATACTAAGACATAATAATATCAGGGCATCAGGTGAGGAGCAGGAGCAGCAGCAGCAGCACGAGGAGGAGGAGGAGGAAGGAGGTCTCATGAAAATATGGGGAAACCTTGGCTTTAAATGCTGTTTTGTGCTGAAACCTTGGTACCATCTGTCAGGCCACAGTTAAATATCAGGATAAGTATTGTGATGAAATGAATGTCATATTAGAATCATGACTAAAATTAGAGTTCAGACTGAAGAAAATGAGTCCTCAAGTAAAAACATCATGTATTTGTTGTATTTGTATTTATTGGTAATAAAAGTTATTAATATTTCACTTTTCTGGGTAAGATATTTTATATATCGTGGTTGGTTTTTGGTTTTATTTTTTTCTAACTGCAAATATGGGTTTGATGGGGATTTGTGATCAGATTTAATTTGATCATCTGGATTAAATGACTTGGATGACTAAGAACCTACACAACCAGTATTGTCACTGCAAAACACAGAAACTTATGTCTCTACAGCAGCTGTTCTTAGGATTTTTAAAAAACAAACCTGCTATTTGGGAATTTGTAACCGCTGTGAGAAAAACGATGAATTGAAAATTGTAATGAATGCAATTGTTTAAACATGGGAGAAAAAAACAGAAATTGTTTATAACAACATCTGGATTTCTTTGATCATCTGTTGTTACATACAACTGTTGTTTTGTCCTCTTGTATGTCTGACCATGTAAGTGGCATTTATAACAATTAATAATATACTAATGAATTAACTAATTGGTTGAAATACGAGAAAAGGCAACGGGAGAGAAGAAGATCAGAGATAATAATTAAAATAATAATAATAATAATTATTATTATTATAATTTATTATTATTATTATATTATATATATTATTATTATCACACCTAATTAAACATCTCCATCCAGTCTTTAACAATGATTTTGCCAAAGTGTTAAAAACAACTAATACAAATTAAATGCTTTTCACATTAAAATCGACTTATTCTCCCAAATGTAAGGACTATTTTCTTTGTGTTTATCGAGGGCTGAGGTTATTCAAGGCCTTTGAAGTCTCTACAAATCAAAGCAGAGTCCTATCATGTAGAGATCTGTTTGGATTAGTGGCTGAAACGTCATCAAATAAATCGAGATTATAATAAAAGTGTGTTTCGGGGGCTGTGAGTAAAGAGACTGTTTGATTTTTAGTTAATCCTTGACATTTGACTGACTTTTGGTTCGGAATGTTTTACTGACATTTATTGTTCTTGGACAAATCGTTTAGAGATTATAGTTTAGAGTTTAGAGAAGATGTTTTAACGTATCAATTACCTCATTCGTTACTTTATGGGTTCTAAAATTATGCCCCCAGACTTACGTGAGTCTTTTCGGATGAGTGGTTTAACGTATAAAATACCTACGAACTGATGCATTGATTGATTTAAGTATTTTTAGCTTTAGTATTTAAGGTGGTCCGTATAATTTAAATCTATTTTTTAATCCACTTAAATATTTTTTCACCGTGTTTTCCATCAGGTCAAAGTTTCAATCAGATAAAAAAACAAGTTTTAGTTCAGTACTATGAGACGTTAGTTTAAAGTAATGTTGACATCAGTGGTGACATCGACATTATTTCATTTAAACGTGTAATTTTAGAGTCGGGAAAATGCAATGCAAAGGTCAACTCCCAAAAATATGACTTCATTTGTCTTTGAAGAGTCTCGTGAATCTGATTTTATTCCACCTGCTCTCACTAGAAGAAAACAAAACGTTCCATAAGAATTTTCCAGTTGAATCTGCACTTTTTCCCACTCAACTCTCATCTTAGAAGACATTTTAAGAAGAAGAAGAAGAAAAAAAGAAAACATAGGCCATCTCCTGAAAAGGCATTTAGTCCATTTATTTCTTGGCCGGTAAACCCATTCATCAATTGTTCTGCCTTGTAGATTGCATTCTTATGCTAATCCAGCGTGTTAAATATCTTTTTGTTCTCCTTTCACCGTTTTGTCATTCAGTTTATCCAGTTTTGGCCACCCATTTTATTTATTTATGCGTCTGCTCCCATTCATGCGCTCATGTATTTTTTATTATGTTGTTTCACTGTCATGCAGTGTCAACTCACTCTATTCAGTGTGGGCTACTTGAAGGGCTTGGGGGGACAAAGCGTGTACACATTGCACCGCTATTCACTCCGGCCAGCTGGATGGGCTGAAAAAAAAAAACCTTGTGAAAAGAAATCCTCCACAATGGACACAGAAGAAGTGCACAATGCTAACAGTTTTCCAAATACCACTGATTGCTTTCATCACAATGAGGGAGAGCAGCCGCTTTTGCTGAGCTCCACTTCAACAAACAACACTCTCACAAAACCTCCCAACCCACGTTTTGTTCCCAGACAAAACCTTCTCGACCGTCTAAACGCTCCCAGAGTTGAAAAAGAACTTCTTTCACATGTCTTCCTTCTTTTTATCCTCCAGAAAAAAAGGGGTGGAAAATAAAATAAAAAGCCAAAAAGAGGAAGGAAAAGAAATGGCCATTGAGCTCACAATGCAAGTTTTTCTACAGACTTGACGACCTTCTGGATGTTCCCTTGAATTCCTTGCATTTTTAATTTTTATTTTTTAACATGTTTCTGTTTTCTTTTTACCTTATAAAACGCCGTTTCTACAAAAGCCCAAATCTCGGAAAAATCATATCTCGTTCTATAATTTCAAATTTTTTGGAAAAGGGAGGAAGTTGCGTTGAGGGAGAAGTGATCTTGGGTGTCGGGATGGAGAAGTTGCTGTTGAAAGGGTTTAATTAACCGTGGAGGAGATAATTATCCCTGGACTGTACAAATTAGTTTTGCATAATCGCTCTGATCCTTATGAATTAATCTCCCAGTGTAATCGAGCAGGGACAGCTTTGCAAAACAGACATTACGCACGTTTTGCGCATTGGGAACCTAATCTGGGTGATCACGCAATGGAAGCAGGAAAAAATATGACAATTTGCGGCAGAACATTGCGTTTTAATAAATTCAACTTTGTATTTTTTGTTTGTTTGTTTTGGAGCACATACACTGCAAATACACGATGATCCACATCTTAAATCCACAGCATCTTTCTAGGTTTCACGCGCTGTCAAAAACACAGCTTAGCTTTATCTCCCTGACTATTCAGGATTTAATTATGATAAATAATGTTTTGGCGTTTGATTACAATGGCCTGGTTTATTTTTAATTCCCCCCTCCTTGTCGTACAATGTCATTGAAAGCGCGGACAAAAGCGGCCTTTGGAGGATACCTTACACACTCCACCTGGGAGACAGGAGCAGGAGCAGAGGAAAAGAAAAAGATCACAATCTTGTTCATCTCACCAAGAACTACAGCCGCGGTCCTTTTCCACCTTTTTTTTCTTTCATCCGAATACGCTTTATTGTAGTCCTTTTTTTGCTCAACAAGTGAACAGTAGCAATATAGGCTGATGATGTACAGAACGGAGATTAAAGAAAACACAGAAAACATACAAATTCCATACGAGTTAGCTAAAAATGATGCGTGTTTTTTTTGTCTTGAATCAACTCCACTGGCCATTTGTTTGCTTTCTTTTTTTGTTTGTTTTTTGTTTTTTGTTTTTTTGCAATGCACTGAAATGTAATACGACCTTCAGAATAAATTACAATCCGTCTCGAGTGCAAATATTACAGAAATAGTCCGTGTCATTTTTGTTTCGTTTTTTTAAAGAGAGAGGGAGAAAGAAGGGAAATGTCTGAGTCACCATAAGATTCCACTAAACAATAAATATTACAGACACCTATAAAAAGGGTTGGAAAAAAACGGAGGAAATGTACACAGCGGGTTTCTAACGGTAGGTTTTCCTGGCCCCTAAATCTCAAACACTAAAAGCCTGTCAGGGCAAATAAACTAGAGTCATTTTATCTGTACACATTTACACTCAGTTCGGATGCGGAGACAGGAGGGTAAATGTTGTGACAATCCTCCCTGATCCGTGTTATCTGAGAGGAAATGCTGTCATCCCGTCGTTAATATTGTCCTCCAGGTTCCAACAGGTTGGTCAAGCAGGTGCAACTTGGGAGAGGAGGGAGGTGGGGGGGGGGGGGGGGGGGGGATAGAAATCGAGAAGGGTATCTGTGACCAGGTGAGTGTACCCCATACCCCTGTGCATGTGTGCCATCCTGGTTTAGTCATGTCCCTTGTCCCCTGTCCCCTGTCTCCTGCTGCGGTGAGAAGATTAGAGAGTCCTCTACATAGGAATGACCTTAGATAAAGGCATTAAATAATGTACATACACATGTGATATGTGAGACCACGAGCACTTCATCACATGTACGAGTTTGTGCATGCATAATAAAAAACTCTTGCATGAATAGCTTTTTTCTGTTTTTGTTTCGCCTGTCTCTTTTCACATTTAATACAAGTCCACCGTCGGGGCCTATCATAACGCCGCCGCGTACGCAGGGTACGGCTCCAGCTGAGGTTTCCCCATCCCGGGCAGGAGGATGTAGGCCAAGGGCGGCTGCAGCCCCGCTGAGGGCCAGGCCGAACAGTTACAGGGGATCATGTAGCCCGGGTTTCCAGGAGACGGGTGTGAGTGGGTGTGGGTGTGAGTCCCGCCGCCTATACTGCCAGCGCCCGTGAAAGCCGTGGCGCTTCCCGGTGGGTAACCCAGCGGAGAGGCGTAAGGGAAGGACGGCGGGGAAAGCTCGGTCATTTTGGATCCAAGGTCGAAAAATGAATACGGGTTCGTGGACATGGACGGGTTGAAGAAAACCCTGGCCGCCGCGGCCGCTGCAGCCGCCGCTGCCTTGTCCGCGTTCCCGCTGAGGGAGTCGGAAAGTGCTCCAGCGGAGAGACCGCTAACTTTGAGCGCGTCGTGCTCCCCGAGGTTGTAGGGCACGGGGAAGGAAAACTTGTCCTTCTTCATCAGAGTCTTTGGTTTCCTCCTGGGTCTGTATTTGTAGTCGGGGTGTTCCTTCATGTGCATCGCCCGCAGTCGTTTGGCTTCATCAATGAATGGCCTTTTCTCAGACTCGGTGAGAAGTTTCCACTCGGCTCCCAGGCGTTTGCTGATCTCCGAGTTGTGCATTTTTGGATTCTCCTGAGCCATTTTCCTGCGCTGGGCTCTGGACCAGACCATGAACGCATTCATGGGACGTTTAACGTGATCTAACGGCTTAGACATTTTGGCACAGACGCACTCTACAGAGAGGAAGAAAAGCGAATTACTTTTAAAAAAAGAGAGAGTTTCACAAACAAATCCCGTCCAGATCATATTATTCATAACCACCCGGACGTGCGAAACCAACCCAAAAAACGTGTTTCATTTTTTTGGCTACTTACCAAAGAGTTCAAATCTTCATCACACCGTTAGATAAATCGCAAAGTACAAGTGGCTGCGTCCTTTTAACCTGCTCCTCAACTTATGTTTTCGGCTCCATGGTCGTCATCCATCAGTCAAAAGTCTACACCATCAGCGGACAGGAGGGACAGAGGAAGTGAAAACACCACACACACGCCGCCCTGTCGTCTCACACTGTCAGAGCCAACACTCAGCAGCAACAGCATTTACGCAAATGGATGATAACTGGCGCTCGCCCCATGTGAAATACAGGACTGTGCAGTGGCAGGTAGTGAAAGTGCCACTGGCGCATGCGCAGCAGCGCTGAACGGCGCATCGGAGTGTAGAGACCTTTTTCTCCTCCTTAAATCCCACCCTGAGTTTGAACAGAAAACACATCCCGTATTTTGTATCTTTATCAGGAGAGAATGCAGTGAACAAAACCTTCTACAGTTTCCTGATTTGGAAGGCGACTTGTCAAAATGGGAGTTTAGAGCCTTAATAATAATAATTATTATTATTATTAAAATGAACACAGAAACACCAGAGGAGAGCTCATGGATGAAGCGACTGGCCTGAAATGACAGCAAATCTGGGTTTATTAAATTATTTCACATTTTAAAAATCAGTCATTACACGTCTAATCATCATTTCCTCTCGTGTTTTATGTGTCACTCCACTCTTTCACCTTGCTCCGTGGGTGGCACTGACGCACGGTGTCACTGAAAACCCGTGCGTCTTTGTGCACAAGACAAGAAAAGCAAAAAAAAAAAAAAAAAGAAAGAAAGAAAAAGTGTTCTTTAATCTCCACATATTGTGACAAAACGCCAGAATTCAGAGGCGGTCTCGAGTGTTTCTAATCACAACGAGCTTTTTTAATTATTTTTATTATTATTATTATTCTTATTCCTGAAATCACTTCTCTTTCTCACTTCAAAGGACTTTCCCAAGGGCAGCGAGTCAAGTGAAACGAGGTTGTCCAATATTCAGCCAACCGAGCAATTACACTTATCAGCGGGACTTGTTTAGTAAATTGTGGGCTCTAAGTGGTTTTTGTTCTGCCACCATTTTTCCGTTTTACATAATTTTATACACCCCGTATGAAAGAAATACACAGAGAAATGTTGCAATGATATGGGGAAAAATATTATAAATAAGGAATTAGGTCAGGTATAAAGGATTCAGTTGGTGAAAAGGTCTTTCTTCCCCTATTATTAATATTGTAATTTTTATTACTACTACTTTTGTTATTATTATTATTATTATTGTAAACTTTCATATTCCATTGTGAGGTGATCCGTTATTTTCTAGTGAACGATCCCAGTTTTAACTGGTACAAGGCTCTAAAAAATATATGAAATACCAGATTTTGATGACTGCGATTAAAATACTAACACGGGTAAAAAATATATATTTTTTATCTCAATAAAAAAGGGGTGGTGATGGGATTGGTGGGGGGTTGATGTGCATCAAAAGGACTGGAGTGAAGAGCCAAATCCTCAGCATCTCTCAGCACCGCTGTTGCCGGGCTTGTCCTTCCTCCCTCTCCTCCTCCTTCTTGATAACATTCCTGCAAAATGAAGCGCTCCACTTACTCCGCAGGAGCATCTGCCTATCGTGGCACAAACGGGTAAAAATATGTGCCATGAATTTTATATAAACAAGTTACCAGGAAAAGTTGTTATCAGGACCAGACGACTGTCAAGGTGCGCACGCATCCACGCGCATCCCCAAACGGCCTTTTAAAATATGTATTTATTAATTAACAAATGTCTTTTTTTTCCCCATTTTTTTGCTGACTATATTTAACTATAATTGACGAGTTTTCATTTCTTCCGACGCAATGTTTGGTTTTGTTTTATTTTATTAACACGCATTAAAATGCTTTAAAAATTCTGTCAGGCCTCTGTTTGAGTGCAGCCATCCAGACCGTGTGCTTTTAGCCCTCACAAAAACGTCAAGATGCCGTGGTATCTATTATATAAAAAAAAAAACAGGTTATTAATTTGCGGGATGAGAAAACATTAATTTATTGAATTTAATAATTTAATTGAGATTAGATACAAATTAATTGTAACACCTGCAGTCTGTGCTTCTTCCTCCTCTCCCCGACCTGTGCCAGAGTCTGGGAAATAACACCTAAATAATTCAAGATGAGTTAGTGAGAGTGGGAGAATTACCTGCCGATAAAGCCTGAGTCCAGCCTCTGAGACGGAGCCAGCACTCCCACCTCACAGCACACTGATGATAACAGTGAATAGAAAAAAATATCATGCAAATAGAAGGCAGACAGCGGCAACAACAAGCCCATGGGGACATTTTCCAACCCGGAGAGATCGCGCACAGTTCACTCCAAAGTGCTAAAGCCATCACTCTGAAATATAGGAGCCCCTGGAGGAGCGGGAGTCTTCATGATAGCAACAAACAGTTTATTCGGCCTGACACTTGACAAAACTGTGGGAGAAAGCAAAACAAATTATGGGAATAATTGATGAGCATCCCTGGATAATCCCGGTTTACATGAAAATTCAGAGGATGTCTGGAAGTGCACTTCAGCTCCCCTCCTTCCTCTCACTGTGTTTACTGTTGGACTCCCTTTGGAGGAGCAGTGGAGGGAAATCAAGTTTGAGACTATAATTGATTTCAAAGGAACACAAGTTGACCTCTTGCTATCAGATGGCTTTTCTTGTGAGCAAGGGGTAAACAACAATATCTGCTGTTTTTCAACCACAAACCTCACAGAGAGCAGAGCATTTACTGCCACATGAAAGTTTGCTCATGATCAGGAGGTTAGGGCTGAGCTGGATATAAGGGGAGGGGTCCTGATTGTGCACCTGATGTGCTCTCTTTCAGCTTGTCTGATCACAGTTCTGCCTGGATCTTTCCTTTTCTCTTCCGGCCGGGCTGAGGTACCTCCACACTGACGGTGGTCCTCATCTCTTCCTATGTTCTAGGGATTTTCACTGCAGCTTTTGCCAGTTGCTCCACTTTTTTTTTCTTTAAACAGATAATCTTCACGATAAAGGATCCCCCCTCTCCCCCCTCCCCCCCGCAGATTATCAGCACAAATGTGGCTCAAAATATTTCAGTAAATTGACTAATTACAAACGTACAAGCATGAATGATGTAATACAGGATACAGAAGTGGGATTAAATGCGACGTAGTTCCGATGATGAATACTGAACAGTTTAATTTCACTCTTTTCTCTCCTATTCCTATTTTTATCAATATCCAGTCATTTATTCTACAGGATGATTAAGAGACTTGAGAAATAATTTTTATTTTCAAACAAACACATTTCTGAAGGGTACGTATGTAGATTATATGATGTGGGTACAATTTTAAAGCTGCTAATTTGTCATCTGAGGAATCTTCCCTAAAGAGCACTTTTATTTTGTATGCAATCCAATTGATTTAATGTATAATTAAACTTGATTGTAATTACAAAAACCCACCCTCAGAAACATTGGTACATCTCCAAAAATAGAGAAAAAAAATCACTTAAAACTATCATCTGTCATTTTAGTGACAATGGTTTCATTTGTTTTCTTATGACTTAAATATTCTATACTGTAAACATGAAAAAATAGAAGAAAACACACAACAGAAAAGTTGGGAATGAAACACTAAATATATCAGACGAGGAAACATTCTACAGCGGTTAACTTTAGGTGAAAGGTTAACCAATGAGAGGTGGAGGAAGAAGCTCACGACAATGGTTCTATCTTTACAAGAAAATAAACTAAATCTTCGCTCAATCAAGATGAAGTATGCAGTAAAAATCAGTTTTACCAGGTAAATTGTAGCAAGGTTCAGGTAACACAGTCAAGTTTCATACTAATTGTACAAATTGTACATTTTCTGGAAGAAAATGTCTTAAGATTAAAAGTATTTTTTTCCCCTAATGAGCTTTTGTTACAGCTCACACTTTATTGTAAAATATCATTTCTACGTGCCAAACAACATAATGATCGGATTGGTGGAGGAGACAAAGCCGACCCAAGCGTCACTCCAGATGAACAAACAGGGAATTTAATGCGAATAAAGTTAATGTTTGTGTGGTTTAAATATATGACCTATATTTGAAAATAATGTGCTGAAAATACATTCAATAAGTGCCAAGTTTGTTGTGCAGCCCCTTTAATCGCTGTAATTATACAGTCTTTATTGCTCCTTAGGGCAGACTTTCACGTCTTTGTCTCAGTGGGAATTATTTTGGTGAAGAACCAAATATTTACTCCAGCACAACCTAAATATTACGCATATCAAGAGGAATTGAGAAATAATCCCCTCATAGAGCGCAGTATTAACTTAATCACATTAGGGGGAATACTTTTGATAGTGGTCATGATTCCAACTGAGGTAATCTGTGGCTGACAATAACACGGGCAGACAAGATAGAACACACTGGAGTGCACATTAAAGGGATGTTTCTCAAATCGTGGGATGTGATCCAAAAATGGGCCGCGGGCTTAATTTGTTGGGTCGTGTGACTGTTTGACCCAATTCATGTATTTTTTTCTCTCTCTCTCTTTACTGAGTCCTAGAGAAGGCGTTGAGTTTTTGTTTGTTTTTTCAAAGCCTCAGTGAAATCGTTGTCTTTAACAGTATTAATCTGTCCATTTGACAGTCATGTCACTCATCCCATCAGCCCCGCACTCGGTGTGGCTGCTCTGACAAGCCCGGCGACTGACCTGGAGATGAAACGTCCACAAATACATGCTGGGTGTGAAGGGAAGAGGGAGGGGGAAGGAGTGACTGTCAGTTCAACCTCGCAGCAGCAGAACTGACAGCTACAACAAACTTTAAAAGCACATTATGGAAGGAGAATAGCAACAGAGAAGGATGTGCAGTCCGTGAGCTCGATAAGACCTCCATCTTTAAACCGCCGGTTGTGAAAGTATTATGTGTAATCTCACACTGCAGGATATCTCCTCACCCTGAGGGACAAACAATATAGCAGCCACAATCAAACAACTCTCTGGATCTTTTTTTTTGGGGGGGAGGGAGGGGGGGGGCTACCCTTTGCAAAAGTCTGATTTTGAACTCTGACTGCCTTCAACCCCTACAGGGCTTGTGTTTTAGCTCCAATACCACATATTCCTCTTTGCAGAGTCATGTGGTTCAAATCCACAGATACTTGTTCACCTGCAGGCACTGAGATGACTTTGGCTCTGATAGACTATTTTCAACCATTTAGCAGATACATTATCGTCGGCCTTTCTTCCTCATTATATTCCTCTTATCAGCGCAGCATCACTGCAAAGCCCCAAATAGAGAGTTGTAATTACCCAGACTGCCACCTGATAGCAGCCCTTCTATCAGCTTTATCACTGCAGGTCCTGCTAACTCATCACAGGGACAGAGGGAAGAAAAGGCCCGCTTATGGCACAGCCTGCAACAGATAGCTCATCTCAGATACATTTATAGTTGCAGTTGGGATCAGAGAAAGCCGATGCACCCAGGCAATTTTTTTATATACACCCCGTTCCCTTCAATACCACAAAGACTGCTCTCTCTCAGTCCACTCCTAGTCTCTGGCTCTTTATGTGGGGGCTGAATTGAGGCCGCAGCGCCAACAAAACGTGAGACAATCTCCTTGAACCCGTGGCAGGGACAGTAACACGCTATTAAGGGCTTTCATAGTATGCCATCGTCCTTCAGCACAAGACAGAATGGAAAGAAGAAACATCATAATAATCCAGGAGGTTCGTTCATCTTTAACACTGTACACAACATAACAGTTGATGGTGAGGTGATCCCAGTTCATTAACCACCTTTAACCCTTATTTCAAGTCTCCTTGGTATGTGTGAAAGCAAAGAAAAAGCAACGAGGAACGGGATCTATGGATTTGTGTTAATAATGCTTGAATAAAAAGCAGGAGAAAGCATAACAAACGCTGAGATGAAAGGTCAAGATCTAGTCGCACACTCCTTTATGCGTACAGGTCTGCAAAAATGACGAGGAAGAGAAAGTTAAATACGATGGAAAATTAAACCGCCACATGGCTCAAATTTTTTTTTCACATGTTGCTATCAAATATAACCTTTGCGCTTCTTCTTTTCTTTTCTTTTCAAATAAAACCTCGCCAAGGCAAAAGGCCAAAACAAAATAATTTTCTTTCAGAGAACATCACCTTCAGTTGTTCAGTATGCTTGAAGCACAGTGAGGATTTAACACATTCAACCAGCTAACAAATAATTAAAAGGAACATTAAAAAAATTCTTTGGTAAAATTGTATATAACATTGTTCTCTACCATTACTTCACTATGCTGTCATTCCTACCACTTTCTTATGACATTTTTTCTAAGATCAATTTCCACTACTGTATTGGATCACTGGACATCTCCCTCTGTTGGGATTTGTGTGCCACAAACTTTCATCTCGCCCCTGTGATGCATTGTGTGCGCCACCGTGCTCTTCGGCGACACATGTAACAAAGAAAGAGGCTTTTGTCTACTCATCAGTGTGTCGGAGAAACGGCCGCAGCGGCAGTGACCTCCGTCAATTGCGAGGATGCTTTGGAACTCTACGGTTCCCATGGCCTGAGTGCATTCTGACGGAGGCGCTGCTCTGACGTAGACTGAAAAGAGAAATCAATCTTATGAGAGGAGATTAACTGACCAAGATAATAACCATGTAATTGAGAGAAGAAAAAGTGCAGCAGCGGCTCTGATGCAGAGTGAAGTGAAAGTGAGAGAGTTTTCACAGATGGCAGACGGAGTTCTTTTGAGGTGGTGTTGTCCAAACATGCGGCCGCTCCGACGACTGGACACAGTTTTACACTTTTATGTCCAGACGCTCAAATGTTAATGTGTACTTTACTCTCGCTACTGGATTGGATGACACTGTGATCAATGGGAGGCCAAGTGTCCTGTCAGCACGTCCTGTTCAGAGAGGTGGGGGGGAGGGGGAGGGAGGCTGACGGTGGCCTGTCTCAGGTGATCTCATTATTTGATGGACACTGCAGTGGAGAGGCTGCATTAGTCCTTGCCTCTCTCATGTTGCTCACTTAATCAGACCATTACTCATGCGGAGCAGCGCGGGAACTTATAGGAAATATTGATCATATTTTGACAGAGTATTCTCCCCTCTCCATCGTCAGCAACGAATTACTGCCACATCGCTGATCCAGTGCAAACAGCACACGCGGCGGCATTATTAGGGTCGACGCTCATCAGCATTCCGTAACAACACAGCCCGTGTTCATGCATTTGAATGTTTGCCTTGTAAATTGAAAGGGAAAAGCATGCAGACATTTACACTCCACTGTTTACAAACATCAACCCTCCCTTAATCATACACTACTTCTTACTAGATTCTGAGACTGATAAGAGTCCTGTGGGTTTGTTTAGTCAAACTGGTCTAAGCCAGCTGGGAATCGTGCAAACGCTGGTCAAATATAAGCTGGTAGTATATTACACAGAGCATCTACATTTAGGTGAAGCTGTACACCACTTTTTAGACCCTAATTAAAAACAGAAACCACACCTTTGTGTGACTATACGTCCACATGTTTATCTTAAATGTTTTATAGAATTCTGCTACATAAAGCACTAATTAACCTTGAATTTAAAGTGAATTTAAGTCGGTTTACATTTAACAATAAAACTCTAAAAAAAAGTCAAGAATTCTCCTGAAGTGAAATATGTTTTTCAACATTAAACACAATAATAATGTGAGCAAAGATTAATAAATTGCCACACACACACACACTCCTCTACTTTTTCACTCTTGCAAATTCTGATTTTTTTAATTTTTTATTATGTTTGCCTAAAATCAATGCCCATGCAAAGTGACACAGTGATAGATACAAGCCAGAGGCCGGGACCCTGCAGGAACCAGATCCTCATCCCCCGGGACGTTAGCCATGACACGCCTAAAGAGCAGAGCATTTGGCAGCACGGGCCAAAAGTATCTCCTCTGTCCAATTTAAGCCTCGCCAAGGGTCAAGTGAAATCAATATGTTAATCCATAAATTGTCCTGTGTGATAATTACTGAGAGAAACAGTAATTACAAAAGACATTAATTTACTTCTGGGATTCGGTGCCAAGAAATGGGTTTTCATCCAGATCTTAATTCATCCAGAGGCAAACAATCCACTGAGGAAGCGTCTCTCTCTCTCTCTCTCTCTCTCTTTTTTTAAAGAACCAATGGTTAATTCTTCAGAGAACAGTAGGCGCTCTCGCACACCACTCTGTTGGTTGCGCTGAGGAATTGTCTGAAGGCTGCTGTGTAGTCAGCTCCGGGGTTCTTTCACTGGCTGTGATGACAAAGGTTTCACAAAATACACACTTTTGTTCCCGCTGACACCGAGTGGTGGACAGGACATTAGCATTACAATAAATATAAAAGGAAAACCTATATGGGCTGTTAGGGGATATAAAACCTTTACGTCCTCGGCTACAGACACATGGAGCGCCACACAAACGCAGCGCCGCTTTAATAGAGTGACAACCTGTATATGTTTTGATCTCCTTTCTCTCCGGCTACTTTGAGGCACATCACAAAAACATTGCATTCTTTTCCTGACGCCCAGGATGCAGTTGGTCTGCTTCTCACTGTGCACTGTCAAGTGCAAGATATGATTCTCTTCTATCAGGATGGGGCAAATCTGGGCTAATGTGTCTGCTCCAGAGTGTCCCAGGGAGCCGCACTCCCCCATTCTTTGACTATTCTTCCCACTTTTCTCCTCTCCTGCACTTGGGATAATTGCAGTTTAATTGGGTGACAAGGAATGAAAACGGTATCCACATTATCTAGGAGTATCTCTTTTTCCTCTAGCCTGCCATCAATTCAAAGACGGCCATTTATCATTGAGGGGGAGCTGATGCTTGGTCAGTGCAGGAGAAGCTTTGAGGACCAGTTAGTGAAATAAAGAGAGAGAGAGAGAAAAAGAGAGAGGGGGGGGGAGAGAGAGAAAGAGGCTAGGAGCAATGGGTGAGGGGGCGTGACAGATAAGAAAAATGCTTTTTTAAAAGTCTTATCAGAACCATACATTTATCTTGAAGATGTTTGTTATTTCAGCACTCTAAATCAATAAGGGATGCGATAATATTGACGTGGAGAATTTATCCTCAGACAAAGTCCCTTTCAAGAATCAGTGTTCAACTGAAACTCAAGTTTTCTTTTGCTTTTTGCATCTCAATATACAGAAAGATTTACCAACAAGGAGAATTGTGTGAGAGGGAGAGGGAGATCAGTACGTTCCCAGATTTATGGTTTGGCTGTACTTCATAGCCAACTCCATTCATTTCACCAGCATCCTTAAATTCTGCAAAGCAATTTTCCAAACACTGAGCTGTATATACTCAGGATAGATCACCCTTTTTGTTTGGGCTGTACCCAACCTTAAAAGCCTCTTTCAGGACACTTGAATGCATTAGTGAAAAAAAGGAAGGGTTGTTTAGGGAAGGAAGTAGAGACAATGAGGGGAAAAATGAAAGCTTTCAGATTCGATTATGAGCATTGCCCTCCACTTTTTAAGTCTGTTATATTGTGCATTTTCCTCACAATAATTCCTCTTTTTTTCCCCTGCCCTAGTATGCTCAGTAGTCACTCAAGCACAATTCTAAAAGGGCCTTGCATCAGGGTTATGGTAATACAGTAAATACTACAAAAATGATGGAGAGGCATTTGGAGAGAGGATCACAGTAAAAAATAGCAGATCAGAAAACGGCTTCATTAGTACTTTGCTAGCCTCTGCACAGAAGTAGATGAAAGAAAAGAGACCTTGCCAGTGCACTACATATACATTCCCATTCAGTCTCAGGTGCATTGGCTTTGTGCAGGAACTAAGCCTGAAAATCTGTCGTACAATGACTGAACTGGAGTGCCTTCCACTCTGAATGCAGGCAGGGACCTTCTCTGGATACAATACATTTGAAGGTTATTGTTATTGTATGATCTTGGGAGAATGCACCAGTATTTGCGTGCATCTGTGTACATCTGCCACAGCCACAGCAGATAACATCATGTAATGTACGGAATGTAAAATATTTCTGTGCACAAAATCTGTCAGTCTGAGTTTAAGGGGGTAAAAAAAAAAGTGTAGCTAACTGCAATAAAACCTGTGTGGAATTCAATGAAACAGTGAGTTTCTCACTTAATTTTGTGCAAACATGTAGGAAAAATTGTGCTTCAGCTCAAAGGGAAGTATTTGATTTAGAACCACAGAGTACTTGCTGCACAGTGAGCTGTTTGATAACAGTAGCGTCAAGGACACTGGTATTATAATTTTTATACTTGCTCCAAACTTAGTTTTTATAACACAACAAACGAAGTGTACTGTGGTACAGCGGATCGGGCGGCTATATTTCAACCAGAAGGTTAAATGTTCAATTCCAAGTGCATTTCAAGATTCCCTGTAGCAGTGTTTCCCAAACTGTTACTTCGCGACCCAAGTCAATAGACAGTATTCATAAACTCCTGGGAAACATGATGTGCAACGACCCAAAAAAACCCCCCAAAAAAACTCTTGCGACCCACCTGAGGGAAACAATGCTCTATAGGAAACACTCATACAGTAAACTCAGCTGATTTCCTATCTGCATGTGACAAACTGTGACTTTACAGCCGTTCATTCTCAAGTTTCAACACCAGAACTACCATGGAGGGGGGTCGGGGTTGGGGTGGGACCATGACTTTTCCTAAACATGTGCATTTAATTAAAAAAATATGACATTGACTATATTTACATTAATAAACATAAACCTTTTTAATCGGAACCAACCTAATAATTTCAACTCTCGTGTTGTGTTTCTCCGACTTTGTAAACAATTCCAGAAAGAAATGTGATTTCTGCAGTCTCATTGTGATTATAAGTCCTATTGTGACGATTTGTCTACAGCAGGAGAAGTGAAAACTGTTTAGGCAATCGGGGCGAGGCAGGGATACGGCCACAGTGACTGACTGCCACATTCATCCAGGCAGTGTTAATCATTTTCACGCAGGGCGGCAGTATAAAATTGCTAAAGGAGAATTGCTTCAGCCTGGTCAGTGCAGGCAGCGGTTTGTCTAATCAGAGTGCAAATAAGGTTTGATCACTGTCCAGCGTAATCTGGCCCACAAGCAGCATTTACGGCACTAAATCAAGCGCCGCGGAAGCTGCAGGTGCTGCCTCGCAGACAGACCTCCCCCTGGGGGAAATGTGCTGAGGAATAAAAAGCAAATAAATGGCAGTGCTGGGAGAGCGATGAGCTGATTAACTCACTGCAGGGCAGTTTCTCATTATCCCGTTAACACAGACGGAGAGCCGCCCAATCCTACAGACAGTCTCACTTACAGTAGGGCACATCAGTGAACAACACTGTGTCTGGACCGCGGCTTCACGGAGATAGAGTTTGGATAGATGATGTATATGTGAGCATACGTGTGTGTGTGTGTGTGTGTGTGTGTGTGTATTGTGAGGCCCATCTCTGGGGAGACTGCTAATGTGTCAGCTCCATGGCTCATTTCTTTCAATTACGGTGGCTGGACTAAAAAGAGGCCACCAGTGGACCACTGACAGATCCATATGGGTCCCATCATCACTTACCATAAGCCACTTGTGGATTATTCATGTTCCTGAAATTGAACATGACATATATATTTATATATGACATAAAAACTTTAGCAACATTCATACCAAACTGTGATGATATTTTAAAAAAATCTGCCTTTTTTAACACAAAAAAGTTAAGGAAATGTTGCTCATGACAAGTATAAATGTAATCATTCACACTGTCTGTTGCACTGGAGAAAGAAAAGGAAAGAAAAAATCTCTATTGTAAATTGTTGGTTTAGCATGTCACCTGAATATAAAGCATCTTCTGTCATACTTTGAAATGAGCTCCACTGTTTCCATTGTGCTTCCACCCGGTGGTTTCAAAGCGAATTAATTACCATGATACAGAAATAGGTAGAATACAAATGTTGCAGCCCCTCACTTTATGCCTGCCTATCCCTTTGTTCTGCTTTATTGTACCAAATTATTTAATTGGGTCTCTCTGATTGTGCTCAGACACAGTAAGGAACACAGGCCATTGTTAGCTTCCATACACGCCACAATGCGGTATCAAATTCAATTCCCATCAAAACGGCGGGAGCTGCCGCGGAGCCCACAGCAGCCCCGGAGATTAATGAAGATCTGCATCAAGGCAAAGCGTTGGTCCGAGATGGGAGATTCCAGCCAAATAAAAGATCCCTTCACCAAGAACAAAAGGGCGCCTGAAAAGCAACGGGATGTTCGGAGAGGATGAAATAAAACAAAACAAAGGCAGGAGTTGGAGGCGTGCAAAGGGGACGCCTGCATAAATCAATTTGGTTTTTTCCTATCCACCTTAATTCAGCATAATACCAGACACAAACCTGACAAATACTAATATTCCATTAATCACATAAATATATATATAAGTATATACAGTATATATAAACACAATTTTAACAAATGTGCAGCAACGTATCACACTGATGTTCTATTAAAATTCCCCAGTGGAAAAAAAAAGATTTCAGATGGAATCTGCTACGTTAAAGGAAGACAAACATGTCGTGCGTCACCTTGATGGCTGCGAATTCACACTGTGATTTAATAAGAAACGCTTTTCCTCCTTTTTTGTTCTTTGGAATAACAGACAGAGCAAAGACACACTTCAGTGGTATTCAGAGTGTGTGAATGCTTTTCTTCTCCCCACTCGCTTTGTATGAACTGCAACAACTGGATGACTTGTTCTCTGAATGCCGCGTGTCGACAGGTTGGCTCTTTCAGCTCAGCCTAGCACCACAATTGTTTTCCGTTTGCCTGACAGATTCCAGGCTCTGCCACGGACTTTGTCAGTCTTTCAACCAGAAATTAGCAGCTTGTCTGGTGAAACACAAACCACACTTTCAGACACCACAGTGAAAAGTTTAGTTTCTTCGTAATGCTAGTATAGCATATATGAACACACATACATGCATACATATATAGAGTATATATACACATATATGTTTACATGTATGTGTATATATTTAATATTGCAACAAGATAACCAGCAAGAACGTTGACCAGATGGTCAACGTAACAGTCAAACCCTTAGGCCAGGTTTCTCCAACCTATGGCTCCTGGGCCACACATGGCCTTTCTCATCTATGTCTAATCAACCCCCGAGCCTGACCAGTATGATAAGTAGACAGCGGTTTGGGGCGTACTGTGATTTATACAGACATCAACTGAACAGAATGTCACACTAACTTTTCAGCTTGCTTGCGAACAGCAGAATAACATCACCTCGTCCTCAACTGGAGATCAGGTGTTTTTGGGATGAGATGTCATGTTGGCTTCAGGTCACTGTAGGTGAAATCTCGATCTTTTTGTAGTACAAAAGATTACAAATCTGCAGTGTTACTACAGTACTTAAAACTTCATACACTGTCCTACTGCCTTCATTTAAATATTTTAAAACCGTGTACTGCCTTCATTTAAATATTTTAAAACTTTAGCAAATTTTATTTGCTAGTAAAACGATAAAAATGTCTCTTTTGATGTTAGAGGTTGCAGAGCCTTGCCTCAGGCAGATTTGCATTATAAATCCCTATGTTACTACAGTATGATGGACATCAGTATCATGAGCTTCAGAGTACTTAAAGAAGATCATTACTGTTTTATTCCATCCACTGACGCATCAAGAGTGCATGATGGTATCATACCAAGAGGAGGAAAGTTTGGTGGAAATAAACTGGAGTCCTGTGGATCTGAACTCATCTGAGACTGTGTCAAAGGAACACAGGGACAATCAGACTGTAATCAGTGAGAAATGACACGGAGTATCTGCTTATGTGTGAATCTAAAAACCCTTAGTGATTTATCAGAGTACAAATTTGATTTTATTGAAGTTTTAGGAAGTGAACCCACTTTCCCAGAAATGGATTCTACTGATACTGTGAAACATTTCCTGTTTATCTGCACTCTTACATGCACTTTAGATATATGTGCAGAAATAGACATTTTAAGGCATTATTTGATCAATATAAAGGGGGGTTTATTAACTGGGGCAACACTCTGCTGTTACAGTTGGTGTCACACGGAGAGATTTGGAGATTTTTTGGCCAGTGCCACCTGAACAGAGCGCTCCACTCTTTCACATTCAGCACATGGTGTGTCCCCCAGCCCGCCATATTTACTTCATTTCCCCCGATTCATAGATGCTGCTCACTGGACCGGAACATTCCAGCTGCCACCTCAACATCTCATTATTTTTTTTGAAATATCAAGCTTGTATCTTCTTGATAAATAATTCGCACAAGTATAATGTATCAGACTAAAACATATTTTGAGGGGGGCACGGAGGTTAAAGTGCCAATCTCACCTTTTTAATTTTTTTTCGCCCCCAAGACAGAGATTTCCATATATAGAGTGACCACGGTTTGTGTTCAACACCGGCAATCGGGATGAAGCGCACGGCGACACATATTGCTGTCAGAGATTGGATATGAGGCCTGCTAACCTGTAGGCAGCCTCCCCAGACCAATCAGCTTTACACATTGCCAATGCATTTGCTGCCTGCCAACAGAATTGTGACTGTGAAGTTTTTATCTGGAGTAGTTGACAAACATTACTCTTTAATGCAGTTTTGTAGAAATGCATTCTTATCCCTCTTGGAAGGCATTTATCTACTTGAAACCTGCAAAAATGGTTGCCACAGGGAAAGATTTCCTTTAATAGACTACAATAGGCTCAGTACGGGACACATTCTGATATTTCTGATAGATAGGGGGGCCCCGGCCATATATTCATGGGAAATTGTTTATCTTCAAGCGAGAGGAGAGAGGGCTCCGTCCTACAATAGCATTTCAACTTTCATCTGAAATGATTCTTTTCACATGTATAAATTGTCCCGTTGAATTTCAGACAGAAGCCATTCATGAAAAATATCAATCTGTTTAGAGTCGTCATATGAATACAAGCCACCCTGACAGAAGAATGTGTGGAAAAAAATATATTTTCACACACGCACACACACCGATTCTCTAGCCTTTTTAGCCTCAGCCTGAACTATTACAAATATGCCATATCTTAATCCTTACCCTAACGCCAACCTGACCCTAATTCTAATCCTGACACTTGAACACATCTTGAACCTCAAAATCACCTGGGGACCAACAATATGTCCCCACAAGGACAAGTGTCCCCAACATGGTAGTATTTTCCCAAAAGTATAGAAGTATAGCCCCACCAGTAAAACGCACACATTATTATTATTATTATTACAATAATAATGAATTATGCACAGTACGTAGAAATGTATTCATGTTCTTAAATGTGTTACATAACGGTCCATTGTCATATCCTTCTATGGGGCCCAGAATTCCCAGTATTTTTTTTAACAACAAAACACCAGACCTTATGCTACACAAATTAAAAAAGGTTGGATTTGCTCTGACCAGGCCTGCCTGCAGTCCAGATTTGCCCTCTACTGACACTGGAAATAATGACAAGAACAGTCAGACAGCAGTCTCTACACAGTGTTATAAAACTTCATTATCAAATATATCATTTAAAATATGCAAAAACCTTGACTAAACTTCTTCCTCCTCCCTTGCCTCTTGGTGTTTATTTATTATTAACATTTTCAAATAAAACAAATTTGTTCAGTAAAATATTATACACCATATACATGGCCTTCAAGGGTTTAACTGACATTTGGGTTTGCAATGTTTTTTTTTTTGGGGGGGGGTGATATTTTCCCTGCGGTTTAATCATTTAAATAAGTTAATTTAAATATCAACTCAGACAACTCAACACTATCAGTACAATATGTGTAATTATATGGCTGTATCATCTGAAAACCTGAACAGTTGGGAGGTGAAGGGGGGGGGGGGGGGGGGGCACGAGAGGGGAGAAAAACGTCTCTCTGGGAGGCAAATCCCACAGTGTCTTCTATTCACAGCCAGCTACATTGTGCTTTGCTGCTGTCTCTCAAACGTTCATGCAGTTCACTTCTTTTTTTTCATGTGGGGTCCTACTTCTAGTGATAGTCGGGGAGGGTCTCTCCCTGGTCCTGGCTCTGTGATAGAAGCAAGCAACCAGGCGACACAATGTGAGAGCAGGGCCTGAAGACGGAGGGGGGGCCTTGTGCGCTCTTAACGCCACTCTCAGGAAGCGGGGGACAATAAATCAATAGACTGTCCCTCTCCAGTAGGGGCCAAATGTAAACAAATTGAAAAGGACGGAGAACAAAACAGTTTGGTGAGTGAAACAGACGTACTCAATAGGCCACTGCTGCAAATGCAATGCCTTTGTGAGCGCTTCCTCCCGGCTCTCATGTTGATGCGTGCCACTCCGAGAGAAAGGACATGTCATAGAAAGGTAGCCCACTTCGAATTTTGATCGGGAAAAACAACAGGTGCAGACAGTATTTAGCAGGCTTTAAAATGAAATCAGCGGCGGAATGAGATGCACTCATCGTTGCAGGTAGTTTAATTTGCGAGAGCACTTCATCTCCGAGACCTGCGCCGATGAGCTGCGACAACATCTTACAGCGTATAACATGCGGTGCTCAAGGGCACAGGCACAGATCTGTGTGCACGTCAAGGCTGCTACCACAAGGTAAATTAATGAATCTTTTAAAAGGTTTCGATTTTTTTTTTTTTTAGAAAATGAGAGGATCTGTTGTAGCTTTTTATCAACCCTCTTCATATTTCACTAAGGTGGAATGGGGCACCACATTTGCGAGGCAGAACTAATGCTATATAAATCTCAAGTAATAAGCACGCCCCAGGGACATCATCTAAATGAAGATTTTACACCAATTTAAACCTGCCTGCAATTTGGTTCCCGCCTTAAGTGCATTTGTTTAACAGGTGCCTCAGATGCAAGTGTTTTCATACAAAGTGTCGCTATGTCTCCTTTATTAATTTCTGGATTGCAAGTGGGCGGGCAGCAGGGGGACTATGAAGAGAGAGGGGAGTTGACAAACACTAATCAAAGGTTGAGAGTGGGCCGATTCTACCACTGAACCAATGTACAAACGCTTCATTTGCAAACTAATGATTTCGAGCCCCCCTCCCCGCAATCTGTCTGAGGTCAACTCCTGTGTATTTTGGATATGCTTGGCTATTAGCGTCACCCAGAGCTTCAGATGTGTCAAGTCTGCTCCCCCTCCAGTGATAGTCACCTACTTTAATTTCCCTGCAGGCCTCAGAGGGGGATGAATTCAACCAAAATCACAAGCTGTTTTGTTGGCAATCCTTTGTGGCCTATAATGAATCTAATGANACGGGGGCGGAGGGGGGGTGCAAAGGACGCAGGCGAATACATTTCAACCACGCTGTGTGGCTTTTACTTGACGATTTGTGACCCACAACAATGGGACAATGGCCAGTGTTTTTGTACCCTTAATTTGCCTTTGTGTTTCGGCTTCATCTCTTTCAACGCCAAGCATTGAAAGTTGTCAGTTGAAGAATAACTGCTGACTCCACAGTCCGTCAGACAAAGAGGCGGGGGGGTTAAGATGAATCCCTAACTATCAGGCAGTCAGAGGAGCAGAAAGGGAAAGGGGCTCGGAGGCAGACACAGACAAGTCATATATATAGAATTAGCCGGGCTGCCCACACCAGCCCTGGAGCGTTTCCTCTCTCTCTCTCTCTTCACAACAAACACTGTGCTTCCACTTCTTAAAAGCTGCAGACATTTGGATTTGGCCCCAGAGCAGTGTTTGGCACCTGCATTAGAGAGGCTCATCTGATAAGAACAGATCACAGTGAACGTAAAGGCCCTGTGGAGTTAAAGAACTGATGTCTAACTGGACGTTCCTGATTCTACAGAGTTCTAAAACTGTGGTTTTTAAGTACGTAATCAGTATAAACAACAGTACTGCAGACATTAAAGGTATACATTTGGGGGTTTATATTGTTGTTTGGTAATAGGTAGAATGTACCCTGTACACAGACTGAAACCCTACTTTGAGAACCACTTTGACAGACCCAAGTTTTTATGTTTCTAACATGTTCTGATACAACAGTGATGCATCCTTAACCCCCCCCACCCTCCCCCAACAGTGCATCATGTTTCCCATCTAATGTATCAGTTTTACCTCCACCTTGGGTCAAAACCAGAAGATAGAATCTGATCAATTAACAGCCAAGTTTTTCCCATTCAAGTCAGATCCTCAGATTTACACACTCATTGGCTCAAGTGGACACAGCTCGACTAATGACAGTCACACATGAACTTTTAAGAGCTGTAGTGAACGCCGGGTTAATGATAAAAAAGTTCTGTGTCACCGCTTCATGATGGTGTGCTCCCCGGTGCCTGTAATGATTTCTTTTCATAAACATGCACTGTGCTCTCCTCCACCTGGCAGCTGCCTCTGTGCATATGAGATTACTATTATGCATCTTCCAATCCCGAGGATAAACATCTCTCTGCACTTTTGAAGTTTTCAAGCATGAGGCATATTTCAGCGCCATGTGACTTAAGCAGCCCCTTCAGGTATCACTTGCAATCTCCCCTCATTCTATATACATTGTTCAACTTTAATGGGTATCTAATTTGTGTTATCAGCTTACAGGGCAGTAAGTAATAATTTGCATGGCTGCTCTAAGCAAATATGCCTCCATAAGCATCTCACAGTATAGACACTAGAATGGATTAGCTGCCATATTGGCTATGCCCCAACGGTCAATGCTTTTTAGAAATAAGGGGAACAGATAGTCTAGTTTGGTGGCAATCATGTTGTTGGTGGGGGAAAAAAAGCCTCTGTATTCACCGTTAACTTTCTCTATCTCTTTATGCAGACGATATGATTGGATAAAAGCCTTCATTTCACAGCCTGTAATGAAATCACATCTATGATGAAATTTACACCCACGTCAGTGATGTTCAACAGCCATTATTGGAGGCTTGTAATGAGATGGTGTTCTTTTTTTTCTGTCAACATAAAACCTCTTCTGGTTACTAGAAAAAATGTAATTTAACTTCTCAATTATCTTATTATTTTATATATAATAAAATTAGATTAGCAAAGGATTATTCAACAAACAGAGTCTAATCCTGACAAAAACAATATCAACATGAGGCTCATAATCTGTCTATTCTGTATCTGTATCACTGTTATGATCAAAAACTAAGAAAACATTTTTTTCCAGTGATCGCCAGAAGTTTGTCATATCAAAATCACACATACACCCAAGCCTAAAAAGGTTGTTAACCACATAGAAAAAAACAAAAAACAAAGAACAACATTCTATCATTTCTACTACGGTGAATGTCGGTTGTTCCCCACTTAGAACTCTTTATTTTTTTTAAGGGTCTGGTCCAGCGTTACGTTAAAGAACAGTAGAACTGATTCAGTTGTGCTCATGTCCTCTGTGTTCCCAGTGGAACCACAGGGGAAACAGTGATGCATTTAGGAGAGTCACTTGCGTCAGGCATGTGTGTTACGCCTGTTAGCTCAGTAGACAGCTAATTGCCATGGTGGGTGGTTATAGTGCTAGGAGCCTGATCTTAGAAATATGTCATATTTCTTAATGGGACGCACAGATGCAAATGACGCGTGACAGACTGTGACCAACAGCACCAGAACAGAAACACGGTTAACTTCAGAAATGTTCTTGGCTTCGAGATGTCACTGCTGTGAAGACAACCCACTGTTTATCTATTTATTTATTATTTTCTATAGTTATTTTTGCTCATGGGCCAATATGGCAAAAGACATCTGACAATAATAAAAAAAAGACTTTACTGAAATAGTAGCATGCCAGATTCGGCTTTGTTAGGGGTTCTTTATATTATGCTTCCATGCTAGCGGGCATTGTTGGCCTCATTACGTTAGCTGCTGCTAGGAGTTCATGTAAAAAGTGAAACCTGGAATGTCCCTACCCTGAATGGAAGGAGCACTCAGGTAGCGCGACCTAATTCATATTCTTAGAAGGATTTGTAATTTGCAAAGCATATCAGGTATCTGACAGGAGGGCACAGCCTCTTTAAAAGTACGCTATTCAAAGTTGCTACAAGAGTCTGAAAAGCTCGTCCATAAAGATTGATTAAAGTCGTAAAGATTTTGCATCAAATGGAGCGGCCTGATTAAAGCTATCCGCCGCTGCTTTTTTTTTTTTGCATCAGACCTGTAATCTCCCTCACGTGGTGAAATTGTTGTTAATGCAGGAATAATATCAATGCAAACTATATTAATAACCACGGCGAGAGAAGCGGGGAAAATGTCACTTAATCAATGAAAACAAATCATGCACACCTTGCTTTGATTATGTGCAAGAGTGTGAATATTAATGTGTGAGTCTGAATCAATGCCAGGGTTGCATGTGTCGCCTCCAGTGTTTACTCATAGTTAAGACATTTCTTTCTTTTATATTTCTGCTGCAGCTTCGGAGAGCGATCAATGCAATACTAAATAGAGATATGATACCCGCCATTATAGCAATTCAACGGCGGCAACAAAACACCAGCGATTGCGTTATTGTAAACTGCGGAGATGGGATGTTCAAATTTCAATTAACTTTGGTTTGTGTTTGCTGATATTAATTAAGAGGGCTTCATGAAAGCACACAATAAAGACAGGTTTATTGTCTCAGATTATTCTCATGAAAGCAGCATTAGTATGTAGGACAAAGCTACCTAATTACCTGGCATGGGAGGCAAGACATTACACGGGGAACCTTTTGATTTGTGGGAGGTAATAGCACTGGGCTAGAAACAGATTCTTCATTTCATTATTTGATAAGAATGGCTTTAATGAAAATATCAGCCCAGGAGCAACACGAGTCAACGCCACCACTTGGGTGTGGAAAAAGAAGCAGAAAGGGAAAAGGCGCTCGGAGGAGTGGTGCTGCACTCAAGAAATTACCTCATGACTGGAGTTCATTAAATAAAATGTGAAACACAGCTGGTGGGCTAATGGAGGTCAAATGTATAAGCGGCGGGATGAGTGTAAGGTGATGTGGCAATCACAGACAATGCAGCGCCTCGTCTCTGACAGGTTAATGAAATGCCTGCCGCTAAGTGTTGTTGCGGCGCTCCGGTCCGCTCTGCCACAGTGAGGCTTCTCTTCCCCTCGTCTGCAGTCAGCGGCGTGACAGTGTTGTATCAGTGTCACTGAAAGCAATCATAACATTCCTTTCCTCCAAGTCCTGGGTTTGTTTGAAATTCCCTTGGCAGCAGAATGCTTCAGGGGGTCAAGCACACCAAATCTCCCAACAATAATGGGCCAACTATCAGTTACATCTCTCACCTGTAATCATTGGCTGGCATTAAAAGCATGGCTTTCTTTCTGCGGAGCATACTTGACTGTGACTGCTTTTGAAATGAGTATAATGTAATCTGTGCCGCAGATATCTACGGCTATTGTGCGTCTATCCCAGCAGTGAATGGTCAGACCTATCGGTTACTCTCTGGAGGTGATGTATGCTCTCTAGAACAAAGATTCCAAACAGATAAAGGCTATAATGTGCTCTTCATTCCGACTCTCATTTTTCAGGGAATTTTGTTTTGCAAAAACACTTTAGGTCCTTCCAACATTGTTTCCTCACCAAAAGGAGGAAGGTCTTTATTTACATCAAAAGTTTGTAATAAAACTCTCTAGAAAGCACTGGCGGTGACGTCAATGGTTTTCAGGTACGCTAAGATTTGGCCACATGCAGGGAGTGCAATATTATATGTCAATTATAAATCGATCTAAAGTGGAGCCAACACTGAGGCTGCAGGCAGAGCTGAACGTGCCGAGGACTTGGACAGGCTGCTGCCTGACGTGACTGTTGGGATGACGCTCCTACAAATATAGTGGACAACATCGTTTCGAAAAAAATAAAAAATAAATAAACTACTGGTCACATATAAAATTATGATAATGGCCCAAAGAAGCATTTTTGATTAGTTTAATAACTATATTAATTGAACTCAGTAATTAAATATTATTTCTGTTCATTTTCTTACATCCTTTCCTGATATCCCAGTCTCGCACAGTGTGAACCTGTTAGCTTCTAGTCCGGGCGTGGTGCCAGTTAGAAGCTAAATGAAGAAAAAAAAGAGGAAAATTACTAATTTAAATAGTTGATCACATTTTTGCATTTGCATTTAACATAAATTAGTTAAATTAACAAAATAAAACTGTCATTTGACAATGCATAACAAAGCTGTTATATTATATATGACACTTATATACAAAAGGGGGCGCTGCAGAAATATTTTGGGCACCCCTGGTCTACAGTCAAAGAAGAGACGAGGAAAAGGCAAAAAATATATATATATACTGATGGAAACTCATTTAGGAAACTGTTGCTACAACCCCATTAAAGGAGCAGTACAAGGTGTTAAAAAACAGCGTTATTATTGCACCAGTCTGAGTGCCAACACCAAAATCAAGAAATGACAACAACCACCAGTCATGCACTTGGAAACACAGCAAGAGAATACATTTCTGGCAAATGTGTGCGTCTGTTTTCATGCATGTTTAAATCCCAAAAATCTTGACAAAAGAGGCTCCTTTGGTGCGTCGTCGTCATCCAAAATCAACTGAGTGAATTACACATAAATTTCCCATCGCAACATAAACCGTAATGACATTATCTCTGACACATCATTTTTTTCAGTTTGTATTCTGTTACTGTGATTTATGCCAGATCATCTGCCTGTCTGTCTATCAGTGTTTTATGTTCACAGTAAACCCTTTGAATATTATAATTATAACCCCAAGAACAACCATTCTCCATCAGATGTACAGCAGATAACGTCAGTCTAGTCCAAGAAGCAGCAATATCATCTTTACTGCCCATGTATTGAGGTTAAACAGGATGATCTCCACAGATTAGGATTCAACATGAGCTTTGACTACATTTAACACAGAAGAGCAAGTGAGGAAACAGCGGTAAGTGATGAAAGTATTAGGGTCTGGAAACGCAAACGGGAAAGAAGCTATTTCAGTAATTATAGTCACATACGAAATGTGTTCGTTTTTTTTTTTTATCCCAAATGATCCGGCATCACCGTCATTGTCCGGTGGGAGTTAACTTTTAGACTGTTTACGGGCTCAGAGGCCAGGCATGCATCTGAAGCCACATAGGCAAGATAATGTCTCCCAGGCTACAAAAGCAGGCAAATCACTGTGCATTAAGACTGAACACACAAAGGACAACAATGGCTTGCATAAACACTATTTAGAACCATTCACATGGCATTGAAGAGAGGGGCGTCGACTCACTATTGCTGCAAAGCCGGCACATTGTGCGGAGGTGAAAAGAAGTCTAATGAACAGGAAGCCTTATTTGAGAGAGCTGACAGTAACCATACAACAGCCGCATTGTGCACTTGTTACCGACCCTGTGGGTCTCTACATTTGGAGAAATGATGAGAAAGTAACCCCCAAAGACACAGTGGGCCCTTGGACCCACGTAAATGCCAGCCAACAATAATGGGGGACACAGGCTGTCCCCACCTTTACCCAAAGCTGCACGTTTACATGCACAGAACATCAACCGCTCTCATGGCCAAGGATAAAAGCCCCCCGGCCAGATGGAACTTTGAAGTAAATTTGGGGGGTAGTTTGCCACCAAACGACACAAAAGGGTGAAATTTGGGGGCGGGGGGAGAAAGAGGGGGGAGGAAGGAGTGGGGGGGCGGGGGGGGAGCAGGGGAATCATGCATCAAAACGGTGTCATACATTTTAAATGACACCAAAAGTTAGAAACTTTTTTGTGCACCGGGCTACCTCTCTCTCTCACACACACACACACTAACACACACACACAGAGTGAGAGAGGGACTCATATTATGCCCCCTGCCTCAAGCTTCATCAATCTTCCACAAAGGCATGACATCACCAATAAGCATAGCCTTTTATGGCTTTAAGCAATAAGCCTCATTTACTGATGAGATAAGCCCATGCTTTTGTCTCGCCCTCCACTCTGCCTCTTTCTCTCGCAGCTGAGGAATCAAACGGCACTTTTGGAAGGTAACAGAGCATGCCCAGGATTTGGGGCTAAAGCAATGCAAAGAGGCTTCCTATTTGGTGCGCTTTTCAAAGGGCCACATTAGCCCGTTTAGTTCAAAGTAGCAGGGTCAGGTATAATTACAAAAGCCTCTCCGTTCCCTCAGACCACTTGTTGTGATCTCGTTTCCCCGCATGAAAGAGTTTTCATTAGGACGGCCCTTTGATTGGGGTTTAATAGTGAAATATATTCAACCTCAGTCAAGTCAGAGTAAAGACACACGGACCTGTGGGTTCACGAAGCAGCAGCTGTAGCCCTGCCGTCTAATTATTGTTATTGTTTGTAGCAGCGTTAGTGGGCCAAGTCAGCGGTCACTAAACTGCTGAGACACTGTGATGCAGCACGGCTACTAAGGCTGTTTACATACTACAGTGCAAGAGTGAAAATAGAACATGCTGGAATGTTCCATACAATCACAACAATGTAACCCCATTAGACATACAGTACTTATATGGCAACTAGAGCTGTATAGTGGTGTGTGTGTTTGCAGTGAGACTGTGGTTTATTTGATACTTTCTCATAGAAGTAAAAAAAAAAAAACCCAGAAAAGATGGTAATGATGGGAGGAATTTAATTTGACTGATTTGACTATTGTTTGACTATGACCTTTTGTATTCAGTTTGCCACATTAAAGTGCAGTTTTCACTACCCTCTTAGAGGTGTACAGCCTCACAGATGAGCGCCATAACACCCAGGTATCTCAGCGTCAACTCTGCTGCTGACACCTCTGTCAGGTGTGGTTTCAACAAACAATCACGTAAACTACAGCTTTACCCTCAGTTCAAGTTATCCAAATTGTATTTCTAGTACCCCCTGCAGGGTAGACGGAGGGACTGACATGCTTTACCAACTTTACCAACACTGGCTTAGTTTGGTTTAGCAGATCTTTAAGTGCCATAACCAGGATGTTACTATAACATCACAGACTGTATATAAACAGAAATGTATACAATTTCAAACAAAATTCAGAAATAATGAAAGATTTCACACTTGAACATTGTCTTGTTAGGCTTGAAGATACCTATGATGATTTTTGTTAATAGTTATAATGAAAAAGCAAGACAAATAAGCCCAAGATAAAGGCTTATTTATTCATGTACAGTTTTTTCATGTCCACCTCCTCGGTCACTCAGCCCCCAGTTTGGACTCCACACACCCTTCTCTGTTGGGAGCTGCCTGCAGCCCTAGTAACATGTGGCAAACATGCACTTTTCTCACTTTATAAAGTGTGTCAGAGTTAAGAACTCCGTCTAACTAGGTTGTTCCATCCATCTAGAATATATAGAAGCAACGCATTCTAATTTGAGCTTCTATTTTCAACAAGATAAAAAGCCATTTTCACACACACTGCTGCCGGTGTCACCACACGCACCTTAAAGAATGTAGCTTGTTTGTTTTCCTTAGCTCTACACAGAGTCATGTCAGGCCTTGGGAACCTGTCACATACTCAGTTTGTAGTCACTCTAGAAAGGCTGAGCGCAGTCNTGTCAGCAGCCACGAACAAAGCCGCCATAGTTAATTCTCCTAATTTCACTGCAGCCTGTCGAAATCCTGTTCTCCCTTTCTCCTTCTCTTCAACAAGTACTTTATGCTGGGATCAGTCAGGTCTGAGTCGCCCACAAAAAAACCTGAGGCTCTGGCTTCATCGTCTTTCAGCGGCGGGTTTGACACTCCCCAACTCCCTGCCATTCAGGCGCCTGCACCATGCAATTTGTTTCCATTTGTCAAACAGCAGTATATCCATCACAAAGGAAAACGCTGGCACTACAGAAAGTTTGGAGGAAACAACATTGTTTCCTCACCTTCAGCGCATCCCTCCGACTTCTTGTTTACTGGGCCGCAACAAAACAAGCCGTAACAATTTACACCACCTTCACTTGTTGTAAATACTTTTCACATTGTTCATCTCTCAGCTGACGACAACATATCTGTGACTGAATGGAGCAGGTATCACATCTTCAAATCAGCATCGCTTTTTTTTTTTTCCTCAACGTGTGGAGGCTACAGGAAGAATGTGTCGTCTCATTCACCACTGGCACATTGTGCAGACTCTTTATTTTGTGTTTTATTTCTTTGGGATTAAACTTCATTGTGTGGACAGCCAGGTTTGTCACGCATTTATTGCTTTTTGTGCAGGATTTCAGATATGTTGCACAAAAAAAAAAACAGCAGCATTATTGGGACAACGTAGGAAGGTATCTGGTTAATAATAGTTATTATGTAAACTTTGTTGTCACCATTCTTGTTCCGGCTGTTATCGAGGGCGGAGCAGAGAGGATATATGCTGACTCTGATGTAGATAGTGCCACGAGTATTGCTATTGTGGCAGCTGCCGTGCGGTGCATTCCCTGATAGGGTTTGCGTGCTGTCAATGCCGTGTCAGGTGCATTAGCACCTCAGAGACCCATGATGCTCCAGCTGCTATGTGTCTGCGTCTCCCCGGGGCCCCCTGGCCACCAGCCTGACACCCGACACAAAGTAATCACAGATCACAGCGTTTAATCACTGAAACAAGCACTCCAGAGGACCCCACTGTCAATATCCCACTCTCTCATTATCTGTTTGGATTGCACATCCACACTGTCAGATAAACAGAGTGGAAAATTAAGATTAAAAATATGGTAATTTCATTTCAGGCAGCAGGCTCCCCTCACTGGCCCATTATGCTATTGATTACCACTGAATTCAATTTCTCTTTTCAATGTAAACTTTAATCTATTCGCAAGCCAACAATTCAACTCCCCGGGGGCTATTTGAGAGTAAGTAACCATTTAATATGACGCTGGCTGAAGATTCACTGGCTTTAATGAATTGTGTAAATCACTCAGCTTTTAAAGGAACTGAAGTCTTGCAGTTCACAGCCCAAATCTAGGCCTGGATAAATACAGGCTTTTATATGAGGCTAAGTGTTCACTGACAGCCATCCTGAATACGTAATCACCTCTCGTCTTTATAGGGGGTGAATTTAACAGCTCCTCTCTGCAGCGTCTCTTCCTGCTTTCTGAGGCACTGATGGAAAAATGACATTGCAATTAGAATTTCATTGTCACATCACATAGCCAGTGTGATTCAGTAATGGAGTAAATAGCTCGGCCACTTAACCACAAGGAAACAAATTTAAAAAGAAAAAAAAAATCACTTGACTCAACATAATAATGACTAGGTTGTTTTCCTAACCACACAGCAATTTGTAGCATTATGGTCAAAAACCAGTTGTAATCACCGAGCTGCGGCACACACACATCATTCAGTCAGACAGAGGAAATGGTTTTTGAGTCAGTGTGGAGTCAAATTAAGCCGAGAGTGAACCTTCACACAGACAGATTTATTTTTGGTAAACTGAATTCTCTGTCAGTATGTGAATGTCAAAAATATATGTTATAATGTTTACATTTTTGGTAACAAAACAGTTCAAAACTTACAAAAGTAATTTCAACAGCAAAGAACAACAAAAACAGAAAGTACAGAAAATGTATCAAAGGCCCCTGTAAAAAATAAAATAAAAATTAAGATGGGCCTAAAATAAAAAATGTCGTTTCCACCTTACCTGTTGTGAGTCAGTATTACTCACTTCATAAAATGACAAGCTCCATTTCCACTTTTCCTGACAAGAGCTGAGGTAGACTTAAAAATCCAATTGGTAAAAAGGTTCCTAGATAAAAAAAAAACCAAAACAAAAAACGGTGCAATTACACACAATCAATTGTCTGATTAAGGCACAATAATTAACATTGGTGTCACTGCTGAGTTTGTCCTTGTCTTGTCATGGATTCACATAAAAAGACCAGGGTTCCTGCAAAACAATGTCTGCTTTAAAAGAATAATTAAAGCCAACTATTTATTGCACTGGGGTGAATACATCTAATATATGCAGCAGCGCAGGACTGGAAATGCAAGGGTGGCTGAAAAACACACATACACACATACACACACACACACAAACATAGTGGAGGGTGATCAATAGACAGTGATGCAGTAAAGAGCTGTCAATACACAGTCTGCTCCAGATACTTCCTCTCCTCTCCTATGATTGAGACTAAAAGGATTATGAGGGCAAATGCAGGATGTGCTACACAAAAGACCCAAGCCAAAACGCAAAAAAGAAGGAACTTAGTGTAATTTTTTTTTTGTGATGGATTTGGTCAGCGGCAACCCCGCGCATCGACCCCGCGAAGCTGTCAGACAGACGTCTCAAAGATGATACAGTTGTCCTTGGGAGAGCTCACGTCTGTCGCCTGCTTTCTGTTCCTGTAAACCTGGGAAGTGCATCAGGGAAGCGGTGTCAACAGATTACAGTCTCACACACACACACACACAGTTCAATCTGATCTCATGATCTGTTATGGTGTGTTTTATGACGGATGCCGTCAGAGCCGGCGTAAAGGGATTTGTCACTCACTCAGGCGTGAAGCAGGGGCTCGTTTAGCCTCATAAACAACTGAGAAATGCAAAGGGATAAAAAATCAAGGATAATCACCGACCTTATTTGTTTTATCCTTGTCATTTGTGGGGGCACGGGGGGGTGGGGGAGGGTACACTGCCATAAAGGAGAGCAGTGTTTTCAAAACGCTTGTTGTATTTATGGAAATACTTAAAAAAAAAAAAAAAAGTTCAGTCTCCTCCGAGATTCTCTTTCAACATGGACAAAGGTTCCATAGGTCCATATCAGATTATTGAATGTGTTTAAACCCTGACTGACAACTATAGAAACTTGACACACATCATGCGTGGACGTTGTCAGTATCTAATAAGTGGTGCTGGACAGTTATGGATGCGGCCGTAATCTGATCTGAGAACAGCAGCGCACAATAAAGGAAGGCAGACGCAAGGGGCTCGAACAATGTCACTACCAATCCTGCCACTGTGCGGGGTAAGACGACACTAAATAATACCACAGTGTGCTGAGTCTTTGAAATCAGTATTTTACTCATTTCACTCCTCTGGCTGAGGAGATACAGCTCTGCTGATAAATTTGTGCACGGGACAGAGAGAGAAAATGAAATGATGCCCACTTTTTCTTATTTCACAAAGACCTGTTTGAAGTTGCAATATGGTATCTGTGGTGCCAGACAGATGCACATAGAATGGAATTGAACAATGAATAGCCGGCCCCTTATCTGCTCAGTGTCTGAAGGGGAAATACATCACAAATGAATTTCACAGGGGGAAAAAAATATGGACATTCTCTATTACTGTAATCCCCATAGAAAGTTTATCCCAAATCAGGATGGAGTTAAATCCAATATTTCAAGAATTGATACTGCTGTGGAAAAAAAATCATCTCTAAAATGATCTGGGAATTACTTTAGGAGGAAAGAAAAAAAAAGACTATACAGAGAGTTTCAGTGATAAATATCTGTGGATGTAAATCTACAAAGCAAAAATTTCTCTGTTGAAATTAATGTTAAAAGTACGTCGCTGTAGTGCGACTTTAAATTAAGATGGTAATCGAGTGTCTTTGCTTTGTCAGGGTTATGCACATCATCTGTTGCTTAACTGTATTTTTTTTTTTTCGGGCCAAGAAGTACGGTCTGGAGTTAAGGGGAGAGTCTGGGATTACTGTGACACTACTGAGCTCCATTTAACCACAGGTCTGTTCTCAGACAAAGGTGGGTGGGGCTACCTGTTTGGCTGTGTGCAGCAGTGAGACGGCCTCAGCTCTGCCTGTCTGTTGGACCATCTGGTAAAAGAGCCCTTCCTGGTTCTGCAGGAGCACATATGGCTCATCGTACTCCTGGATCCTGCCAGCATCCAGAACCTGCAATCATACAAACAATGCAGGGTGTGTGAGTGCGAGGCGCCACCTGTATACTTTACCTCTGAGAAAACAGACATTTCAGCTGTTTCACTGCTGAGTGATGCATGCAGACGGTGCAGGTCGAACGGGGGAACCAGTAGTTCTCTGCACCCCTGAACCATCCATTTCGTGTGACTCATGCAAAGACAAACACCAGCGCCTGTTTTTCTGCTCGACACAGTCACTGACAATGAGTGGAACCCGTTGGCAGAGTGAAAGTCGTCTTCGCTGACACTCACAGACTGCAGATCAGCCATTGAGCCGTGTGTTTATCCTAGCATTTCGGTGGCTCAGGGGTGGTCTTCAGTCAAATCCCACAATCACACCTTGAAGACGCTGTAGTAAATAACCATAATTTCTGTGTCATCCTATCCTATAGAAACCACACAAAGAATAGTGCCAATTCAAATGGTTTGGCAAAGACTGCAATTATAACGCAGACAAATTTTGACAAAGTCGATCCCTTTGGGGAGGTAATGAGCAGTTTTGTTATCGTTAACGTGTCGTTTCAGGGAGTGCTGTGTCGGAAAGCGTGGTCGCTGCAGCTGCTACTGCTGTCATGATTTACAATTAGGACAGCAGGAGATAAAGTTTGTGTTTTTAAAAAAATATTGTCCAACTCGGTGTGGCCCAGTGACAATCTGTGGGCATTTAACACCAACGTAGGTGTGAAACGGCCCCTGCTGTGCCACGTCTGACTTCTCTCAGCAGATCTTCGGTGTCGGGGGAGCCACCAGGTCATGCCCTGTCCTCCTTGGACAATTAACAAAGGCTACCACAAATGGCACTATAATTGTCACCTCGGCAGGCAGTAGTTGGAAAGGGCCAAAAATACGGTGGCCCCAGTGCAGGGTCAAGGCTGAGAGGTAAAACTGTGAAGGACAAAATCGGCCCCACAGTTAACAGTGTTAATCTGTGTAGAACTCTTTTGATAACTAGAGAAAAAAAAGAAGAGGTGTTTTTAAACTCTGGATCTGCTGTGTGTTCGTGGTGTGGTAGTAGACATTATATTACACCACCAATTCTCTCAGAGTGAAAATGGAGCTCAGTGTGTCCTGGGGTTTGTGCTTTTCTTGTCTTTATAATAAGGACAGACGGCAGCGCAGTGGAAATTTCCTTCCTTACCAGTATTCTGTCACAGTCAATGATCGTGTTGAGCCTGTGAGCGATGGTGAGGACGGTACACTCTTGAAACTTGTCCCGGATAGTCTCCTGGATGAGGCTGTCAGTTCTAAAGGAGAGAGGGAACACAACACCTTAGCACAAAAACTCTCTTCCTACAGAGCCTGGGGCAGGGATTTTACTCAATCCAGAACAATGGCTCATCAGAAGTGAGGTATGTGCACAAGTAGGCAGAAAAATAAAGGGGCTGACAGGCCCCAGAGTTTACAAAGATACAGGTGGTTTATCTTGTCCTGTGATTTTTCTCTCTATGGCTTCCATTCAGTTGAGTTTCTGCTCTTTGACATAATTAGTTAGAATTTAAAACAATATCAGAGAAATCAAATGTAAATGTAAATGGTTACTGTAGAAATAACTCATATATATATAACTCATATGTATATATATATATATGTATATATATATATATATATAT